AGCCCACCTTACTGACGACCTTTCCGCTATCGGCAACCTGGGTACGAGCTCGATAGCATACAGCTCTCCTCTCCCGGGGTGGTGACGTGTGTATCGACTCTTTCGCGGTCATGGTGCTTTGATGTCGTATGCTAACTTTCTTTGCTGGGGTATTAAGAAGCGGATTGCCTCTATGGTTGCTAGGTTGTATGTATTTTTCTCATCCTCAACTAATTACTGTGACCAGTGGAATATTTTCCAGTTATGTACACAGAATTCGTTTATTATTGCAGAAAACTGCAAAAATTGCAATTAAAAAGGCTCATCATAAATTTAAAATGTATAATAAAACGAGGTAATGTAAAAAGTATCCTATTTGGTATGGTAGCTTAATGTTATCTCTTTCTGAGTCGCTTGTGTAAAGTATTTAGTATGATGTGATGTAACAGATAAACGTCACATAGTAGGCAGAAAATACATAATCTGGTTACTGAAGTGGATGCGACTTGCTTTGCCTGTCTGTCTAATGCGTGAGTATCGTCTTACAAAAATATTGTTTCACGAACAAGATGTTTACCAACGATTAAATCTAACAGTTGACAATATGGTACGTCTTATAAATTTTGTGTGCACTCGTTTTAATAGACTGTTGTAGAGCCAAATAATCTTGGAATCCAAAAAAATTACTGTGGAGGCAAACCAGTATCAAGTAACTGTATTCTGAGAAATATGGAAACTCAGTTATCAGTTCTGTTTAGAGGTATGGAGAAATTAGATGATAAGGAACGGATCTTACAGAGGTATATCGTCTTTTGCCCAGGCTTTTCCTGCTAATGGCTTCCAATCTTGGTGCTTTCAGGTATAGTTCATTACTTCCATTACGCTTTCAGAAATTTTGAAATTTCCCCTCGGCATTTTTCTTTTTCAGCAGAATATTTAGTTCCAGTTTACATTGTATACCTTGGTAATATTTAACACTCAATATAACTCTGCACAATACTCTGTTCACTTTAGCTCTATCATGACTCACGCTTCGGTGCCCCAAGAGATTCGGTCCCAAAATCAAATATCTGACAGTATGTTGCGTTTATCCGTGGGTTTGGAAGATGCTCGGGATCTGGTTAAAGCGCTCTACGATGCTCTGGATGCACTGCCTTCAGAACCCAATCTGGAATAATATGTCGCGATTAAAATCATTCGCATTCCCTTTTCCATAATTTATGATGGTGAATGTCCTGTTCTCAAATTCTTTCAGTACAATCGAAGCCAATCAATGACGTCCTTTTTTGTTCTAATTTGATATTCGACGAAAAGATGATACGGAAATGAAATAACTTTTATCTATTTAATAAGACTTTTTCAATTTCGTACAAAGTTACATGAGAACCCAAAGTCTTCTGAAAATTCACAACATTCGATGAGTGAGAAGCGTCTTTCGTAGTCCCCTATTAAACCAACTGTACTATATAATATAAACAAAATGAGTGAAGTCTTCATATATTCGTTGAAATAGTAACAATGTGGTGATCCTAGCCCACGGGATAACGCCAGCTGTGAAGCGACGCACTACAGTTTCTGGACAGCGAACCACAGGCCAATCGTACTGATCAAGCATAAGTCTTGTGGTCCAGACAGCAACCGTATGACGCCAAGAATACAAGTAGGCTACTGGTGGAAACCTGTTTAGCCAATGAAATCCCTTTGTACAAGCTATTTAACTTCATTTATCACACTAACGGAACCGCTACTTCGGTGGCCTTTTTCCTGCGTCTCGAAGACGGGAGATTCCAGCGTACGACTGCTAGTGTAATGCTATGTTTCAATTACGATCGTGATTCAAAATTGGTACCTACTTTGATTTATGCACAAGCTTACCTTGAGCGCCTCGTTTATCAGCCAATAGCTGCTCACGATATAACCCGCAGAACTACCTACGGTGATAAGAACACTGATTCGTAGGGCTACTGAGTGTTTCAGAGAAGTGAATTGGGCGTGAGGTGGTAATATTCGCCCACTCCCAAAATAGTTGATTATAATTACGCGGTTCGTATTTGAACAGTGGCGTTTTTAAGAAAATTCAAGTAAAATATCGAAAACTTGAAAGCACCATCGGTCACCAATTGTAACAGCACTTACTCGTAAAATTATCGTCCCATGGTGTATCGGTCAGATCACACGTTTGATCCTGCTCAAAGAACCTATGATCGGATGAGCTAGACACCAGCCTCCAATAGATTGCGGTTTTAAGACACCGCTACCTTGCAGGACGGGGTTTGGCAAGTCAGCGGTTCTCGCTGTAAACTCCAGCTAAATTCATTCCGTCATTTGGTACCGGAACGGAATGCTAGCAGGAGTCGCGGAATTGACTGCTTTCTTTGGTGATCAGTTGGTGCGCTACACTCCAGCCAAAGTTGATACGTTGTCGACCGAGTTAATCGGAATTACACTTGAATTAACAGACAAACCAGAGGATCTATTGGTAGCCAATTGGGTCGGCAGTAGAGTATATGAAACAGAAGCTCGCCGTATTTTCTGGCTCACGTGTGCGATAGCCAGGGCGCGTATACAGCTCGCTGAATATGAAAACGAAAAGTGAGAACCAGGTGGCTTGACAACAGCAGATAATAAGCAAATACGTGTAATTTCAGTACCAAAGAGCAATATATATGCAAATAAATACCTAGTAATGCTCGTGATATTAGTCAACGCAAACGTATTGCTCAGCATGGTTGGTTTCGGATTGAGGTTCACCTACGTTCGAAAACGTGCGGGCGAAACGATCCTGCCAACAGAATGTGAGACGGAAGTCTCGTTCGCTGGCCGGGATAGTACTGAATCAGGCTGGTTTGAACGTGAGACATGGGTCTCATCCGAAGCCGTGGCCGTTGCGCGAGATTGCCAGTCCGAATGTGAGACGACTCTCTAATCCAGAACCGTGAAGGAGGGCAGTAATTGCCGACTTGAATGTGAGGATAAAACCTCATTCAGAGGCGTTGCAAACTGAGGATACTGTCATTTAGGACGTGAGGCAGATACCTTCTCCACCGATTTGACGGTGGGAAAATATTGAGAACTTGAACGTGAGACGGGTGTCTCATTCGGAGGTTGAGCGGAAATAGCAGTGGTACTGGTAGATTGCATAACGTTTTCGTCACCGTATGCCGCTTTCTGACGAACTACGCAAATGGTATCGATCAACCTTGAACGTTTCCTCGTACCGTGAAATGACACGAATGGGTCTTTCGTAAGGTTATTGTAGAGGTTTACGCATTGAATAAACTAGAATAGAGGCTGGGCGAGGAGGATGCTAATTCGGAGGGCAAAAACACCTCCGTTTGCATTCGAACTCAATAACCACTCTGACAAACTAACGTTTCGACACATCCGAGCCTGGAAATTCACCTCCTGCACCAACGGAGAATTACCCCGGGCTAATGCAGCTACTTCGATGGAAAAAATTTCCCAGGACAGAAATACATACTCGTCAAAAATTAACAGTGAGCTTGTCGCTTCCTGCGAAACCTGAGACAAAGCCCATACACGCACATACACGTGGTGCCAATATTAGTTGCCTAGGTCGAAACACAGCCCCACCCCAGTCTAACCGGCAAGGCCTTTCGAAGGAACGTAAGCCATACACCTGTACGCCGAGGAAACTCGCAGACTTACCGATTCATGAAGGGGGAATATCGCAAAAAGAGGACCGCATATCACGGAGTCATATACAGCAAATACATCACATTCACCAGTGACTACGACCAAAGCGATAGCGGTAAATCGACCTATTCGCAGGCACAGCCAAATAAGGCACTATTGCACCCCAACAAAAATCTATCCACAGTTGACGGTGCTCTCATCACACACTGCATAGACCTCAAAGCAACACGTTGGCGATCACTGGTGAGCGCAAGTCGCCCGGTGCGGAATATACCAAATGGCGGCAGTGACCCACTCTTGACAATCCACAATATAGAGCGATTATTGAGGCCCAGTTTAATCACAAAGAAAACAGTATTGATGAACAAGTTTATTCAAAAGCGTTACTCAAATATCATCTTCATTGCGTGGCACACAAAGCTCCACAAATAAACAAGCAACACGTAAGATGTCTTGTATTCCATTGGCAAAATTTACAGCCGCCAAATGCGAACTCAGGTGACGATGAATGAATAATACGAAGAAGCAACGAGGGATAAATTGTGAAAAGCTGAAGGAAACTGACCGTAGCCAGCCACCAAGGCTTTTGCATCAATTTAGCATCCGTTAGCTTGTGGCAAGAACCACAAGGTTAACCAATGCACAGAATAAACCTGTTACGTGCTTAACCAAGCAGTTCGCCATGGGCGAAGAGCCAACGAGACACGTTTCAATATTGCATTTCTTTCGATCTTGGAAACCGAAGCGTCCAAGAAGATACAGAATGCAGAGCGGTTTCAAGGGAAAACTTACTCTCCCGAACAAGAGCACTCTGTAATTGATCAAAAAGAAGGAGTTTAGATGGGGTCTTATGGATACGACTGTTTGGTTCGAACCGCATCAGTCCTGTTGAGCAAAAATCACGGTTCAAATGAAAAGCTTCATCACACATTGACTTGTAAGTAAACTTTAACGAAACTCACATCATCGAACAGAATTGGTGTTCACGGGGTTTCCGATAGAGCTTTTCAGCTCAACCAAGCGATCCGTACTCCTCAGAACGGGGACACTGCAAATAGAACGAGAAAGTAGTAGCTGTAGTAGTGGTGCGTAGCAGTGTGTATTATGGCACGCTTTCAATTCTGAGTTCAGATACTATCTAGACGGATCACTTGATCAGCTGTAGGTTTTTACATCACAAAGGAAACTAAACTTAATTTCACAAAAGCTTACCACAACGACTGGAATGTATTATGTCGAAACACAGTCACATATTTTGCAACCACTCCAGGGCATTCAGCGTGGTGCGTTTAGCGCGGCGTGCAACCGCGTAAACAGACCGCCAAGGCTAACTAAAACGCTGGTGTGCAATCAAACAAACGCTCTTTAAACCTATGGTAAACTAAAGCTGTGTAGTGGCTGACTGGGGCAGCGATCGGTAGATTTGATCGACAGTCACCCCCTTCAACTTTTTTATTTCGATCCATGTAGTTCCTCGTAGCAGCTAGTCGTGTGTTACAAGTTTAGCACCCACGGCGGAACCGAAAAAGACTCACGCCCGATACAAAGATGTCTGAATTTTCCAGTCCCAAAAAAGAATTCCTCCGATTGTTAAGGTCCGTTCGCAGAAGTGGAGGTGTAGTGACCATGATTGTACAAAGAAAAGGAGCAATCCACGAGGACGCTTGCCGTTCATATTTTCTTCACAATCAACTCTGACTCCAACTGTGATACTTCTTTGTTTTACTTCTGTTTGTTTCACTGAGCACGGTTTTCCGCTCAGGTGTATATATAAGCTGGGTTCTGTTCTGCGATGGAGATTCAGATAATTGCAAGGATGAACCGGAAAGGCGAGAAAACTCACTCTTGGAAGTGTTCCCTTGGTAGTGATCGCTAGTAAATGGAAGAACCTGTCACTGCTGCTAGACCTAATCCTACGCACCTATTTCGGGAAATAAGTTCAACCAGTGCTTATTGAATTCATTTCTTAGTTCAACCAGGTCCTGTGATAACTCATTCCATGAAGTGACTGCCCTGTTGCTAAAATGTGCAATTTCTTCAGCTCAAACATGTGCCCTCTGGAGCTGCTTTGCATCCTATCAAAGAGCACTCTCTGACTCAACCCTGATAGACTATTCCTAATTTTGAGTGTCTATCAAGTCACCTTGGAGTCTGCTTCTTTCAACAGAGAAGGGTCCGAGATCCTGCAGTCCCTGTCTCTTCGAATTCCCTCGCTGTCCTTCTGTCATCAATGTGGCTAATTCTTAGGCTCCCTCGAGGCAAGCGGCATTCTTTTAAAAGATGGACCTCAGGCTTGTATCTAGTTCTCTAGGTGAGGCCGAACAATTGCCTTATACGGAGGTACGAACACCTCCGGGTGCTCGCATGCTAATGCTAACCGCAGGCTGAAAAGCTCTCTACTGGCAAGGTGCGCCGCTGCTGCACACTGCTCTACCAATTTGTAATCCGATGACACTAGGAGCCCTAAATCCCCACCCTTCTGTGTTGTTCGTAATAAAACACCCTCGCGGGTATTTCCCA